TAATAATAATAATATACAGAAAATTAATCCCTACAAAGTAATCGCATTTAGCCCACCAAGGTCACTAACCAGTAGATCCACGCTCTACATTTCTGTCCCTGACAGAAATGGAACGTATTCTAATAAAAAGAATTAACTTAATTAATCGGGAGCATTATTGCATGTTTTGAAATGAGTCAAGAAAGGGCCCCCATGTTTTTTCAAATTTACTGATTGAGTGTTGAAGAGAGCATCTAATTCTTTCCAGTTTCAAACATGACATAAGGTCACATAACCACTGCTTGTGAGTCGGAGGAGCAGCACCTTTCCACCTGGTCAGAACTGTACGCCTCGCTAACAGCGAACAAAATGCCAGTGCGTGTCGTTTAAAGGCTGGTAAAGGCAACCCCTCACCACTGAAGCCAAAAAGAGCCAAGAGAGGGCCAGGTATTACTGCCACTCCGGCCAGCCTGGACATTGAATGGAAAACATCTGTCCAGAACTGACCAAGTGCAGGGCAGGACCAGTACATATGGACCAGTGTGGCCACAGCAGTTTTACATTTGTCGCAGTATGGGGTGATTTCTGGATAAAAACGAGAGAGCTTGCTTTTGGAGAGATGGACTCTATGTACTATTTTGAACTGAATGAGACAATGGCGTGCACGAGGCCCATGTCTCATCCAGTATGGCCACATTCAAGTCCTCTTCCCATGTGGTTTTAAGTTTAGGTGAGGAGGTCTGTTCCATAGTCAACATTTTATTATAAAGCCACGAAACCAGCCCTTTACGAGTTGGGTCCAATAATAGGATGGTTTCTAACAGTGTATGCTCTGGCAGAGAGACTGAGCCTGAGAGGTGAGACTGAAGAAAGCTTCTGGCTTGCAAATATCTAAAAAAATGGGATTTAGGTAAACCATATTTATTGCTAAGTTCCTCGAAGGAAGCCAACTTCTTCTCTATGAAAAGGTCCTTAAAATGAATAACCCCCCTGCGGTCCCAGTCTAGGAACACCCCATCCTGAACAGATGGTTTAAAAAGGTGGTTAAGTGCAATTGGACTTAAGAGAGAAAAATCGTGGAGTTTAAAGTGTTTCCTAAATTGGCCCAATATTTTCAGTGAGTGTTTCACTACAGGGTTTAAAATAGGCTTAGCTGAAGCGTGCGAGAGTGGGGAGCAAAGCACGGCTGGGATGGATATGTTGCCACCACTACGTAGCTCCACCCAGTCAGGGCAGCCACCCAGACTATGGTAAAAATACCAGAACACCAAACATCTAAGGTTGGCGGCCCAGTAATAAAACCGGAAATTGGGAAAGGCAACCCCCCGCTGCTGTTTAGGTTTTTGGAGTTGTAATTTATTAAGCCTAGGGCGTTTACCCTGCCAAATAAAGGATGAGAAGATCAAGTCCAGTTAATTAAAAAAAGTATTAGGAATAAAGATGGGTAATGCCTGAAAGAGGTATAAAAATTTGGGTAGTATATTCATTTTAATTGAATTGATACGTCCCACAAGGGACATGGAAAAGGGCGTCCACTTTGTGAGGGATCCCTTCACTTGGTTCAACAGTTGAATCAAATTCTCTTTGAACAGGTTTTTATGGTTTTTGGTCACTGTGATACCAAGGTATGTGAATTTTTGTCTTTCAATTCTGAGTGGCAAATTAGCAAAATATGACAAATTAGCTTTATTGCCTATGGGGAAAAGCTCACTTTTGGTAAGGTTCAACTTATACCCAGAAATCTGACCGAATTGGCTAAATATATCAAGAGCAAAAGGCAGTGAGGTTGATGGTTTTGAAATAAAAAGTAAAAGGTCATCTGCATAAAGCGACACTTTATGTTCCATGTCATTACTCCAAATGCCGGATATCTCCTTACTGGTCCCAAGTGCAATGGCGAGGGGCTCTATGGCCAGATCAAAAAACAGGGGGCTAAGAGGACAGCCCTGACGGGTGCCTCTTTGCAGTTTAAATGGCTTTGAAGTCTGAAAATTGGTACGAACCGTGGCAGACGGTTACTGGTATAATAATTTAATCCACGAAATGAAGTTTCTTCCAAAGCCAAATCTACTAAGGACCGCAAAAAGATAGTCAAACTCAACCCGGTCAAAGGTTTTTTCAGCGTCCAAAGTGACAACACACTCAGCCGAATCTGTGGCACCGGAATAAACAATAATAAGCAGCCTTCTCACATTAAAATAAGAGTGCCGACCTTTGATGAAACCTGTTTGGTCTTTTGAAACAACCGATGGTAAAACATTTTCAAGTCTACAGGCAAGAATTTTGGATAAAATTTTGACATCTGTATTTAGGAGAGAGATGGGTCTGTATGAGGTGCATTCCACTGGATCTTTGCCCTTCTTTTAAATAAGTGTGATACAAGCTTCGTAAAATGATTGAGGAAGGGATCCTTGTTTAAAACAATCAGTAAGGGTGGAGCTGAGCTGCACAGAGAGTAGGTCTGAGAATTGTTTGAAAAATTCTGAGGGGAGACCATTAGAACCCGGGCATTTGCAAGGGAGACTTCTGTCTGAGAGATGGGTTCATCTAACTTGTTCTTAAATTCTGGTGAAATTGAAGGAATCTGAAGCTCATCTAGAAAGTTATCAATTATGTTAGAATTGGTTTGTGATTGTGAGCTGTAGAGCTCCTCATAGCAGTCCCTAAATGCATCATTAATTTGTTCATGATCTGTGACTGTACTGCCGTCTTGTTTTCAAATTCTTGGAATAGTTTGCCTTGCCCTAGAGCCCTTGAGCATGGTTGCTAAAAGTTTATCGGCTTTATCGCCATGTACGTAAAATTTGGATTTGTTATGTAAAAGCAGGCGTTCAGCTGAGTGTGTTGTCAATAGGTCAAGCCTTGTTTTAAGTTCAACACGCTTTTTGAACAGTTCGGGACACTGGTTCACAGCATATCCATTAAGACATTTTTGAAAACATACTTCTACTATGAGTGTATATTGTTCTCACATTAACTATCTCTCTCTTATTTCTTTTGCAGAGTCAGAGGTGTCACTTCTTTTGCACTGCATTGCACTTCTCTCAGCAAACCACCCGAAGGCTCCACACCGTCAGTGACAGGAGAGCCTGATGCCAGCGGCCTTTGTGATCATGGGTGTTTTCATGTGCTGCACTGCACCACCTCTTACATCTGTCAACATCTATTTGTTGTAAAGGGAAAAAAAGATTCCCGACAAGATTACTCGAGAAAAACTGAAGGGCACTGATACCTATCTGAAGCACCAACAACTACCACAAACCAGGTGCTGATGCATTTGTAGATGTGAGAATTCAGGAGATAAATATGACTTCAGAGTTTCTTTATCAGACAGATCAGTTTTCTTTTGTAATTCTGATGATAATCAGGAAAAAGTTAAAACAAATGTGATGTACACGACTCGTTTAAAGGATGTTGGAGGCTAAATGTGTTGTTTGTTAATGTAGTCTTGTTTAAACTCACGTTACATGAGCAGTTTGAATCAGCTGGAGAAAAGCTAGGGCCCATATTTATCAAACTTCTTAGAATTACTCTTAAGAATGCTGTTAAGAGTGGACTCCTGTGTAAAAACATCTTGGCTTAAAAGTCAGTTATCAAGCGTCTCAGTCTCACTTTCAGATGTTTCAGAGCTTGAGGAGTAGATGTTGAGTTTGCAACCCCTCCTCCTCCTAGTCTCTCCACTGAACTGCCTGCAGGCACCACTTCCACACACACACACACACACACACACACACACACACACACACACACACACACNCACACACACACACACACACACACACACACACACACACACACACACACACACACACACACACACACACACGCCCGCTCTGATGCCACCACCCCTCCTCACCCCATTCCTAGGCCTAAGAATTTTGATAACTGGCATTTACACTTGGGTCTGAAAATAGGTGCAAATCTAAGAAATTCTCAGCACTTGAGTCTAAAATTCCACTCTAAGAAGTCTGATAAATACGGGCCCAGATATTGCAATCATAAAATTATAGCTTTAAATATGATTGTTCTTAAAAATGTGACATTTTCTCAAGTATTTTTTTATGTTTACTTTAAATTTTGCTGGCTATAGCAACGTTGTTTAAAGACATTTAGACACTGAAAATTTGGGACACTTAAACATGTTTGCATGATAACAAGCTTCAGTAACCTCTCAGCTACTTACAAAGCAGAACTCCACAGCTCTTGCACCCATACTTGGTGTGATGAAGCATAAAACTATACTTGTCATTTGCTTCCTGTGCTTTTTGCAAGTTTTTATCACTAAGCTTTTGAAATAAGTTGCAAAGTCATGTTCTCTCTGAAATCTTTTATTTATTATTTGATCAATAGAATTTTATGTTCTTGTGCCAATAATAAATATACTGTTTTGGAGTTTTATCTGCAATAAATATCTTTATGTTGCCTCTATTTTCTCTGTTAGTTTTTTTTTGTAGAAAAAAAAGTTATTTAAAGAGTCTTTAATAAAATAGATCCTGAAAACCAGCAACATATTACACAAACCAAAAACAGATTTAGTATCTCGAACAGTACAAGAAGTGTAAACAAATCTTTTATCCCAGAACATTCACCAAATTTACACTGAAAGTTAACCTACTTTTCCTATGCATTTACTGTATCAGCAGATGTATACAGGTCCTTCACAAAAAATTAGCATATTGTGATAAAAGTTCATTATTTTCTGTAATGTACTGATAAACATTAAACTTTCATATATTTCAGATTCATTGCACTCCAACTGAAGTAGTTCAAGCCTTTTATTGTTTTAATATCGATGATTTTGGCAAAAAAGTAAAGAAAAATCAAAAATATGCTAATTATTTGAGAAGGACCTGTATCTGCAGAAAAATATTCAAGAAAGAAAGATGTTCTTTGTATAATAAAAGAAGCATAGGACAACTAACAAATGTTTAGAAATAAAGCTGTCACTAAGTGTGAGCTGACCAGCCATTAACTACTCTGCTGGAAATCACATGACTTCATATTCGCTGCGGATGCTTTTCACCAACAAGCAGGCAAACACCACGCCCAGAACCTGGAAGAATAAAGAAAAAATATACTTATGTTGATGCTTGATTCTCCTTAGTGGTCCACAATAACATGTAAATAATCAAAAACTAGAAATAATGATAACAAATGACATGTAAAATGTGTTTTTTTCTTTCTTCAAATTCCATATATATGATTTGGGAGTTAGAGGGTTCAGTAAAAACTAACTAGTTAAAAATTATTGCCAATAAAGAACGGTTACATTAATTAATGTTGGAGGTATTGTAGCTTTTGTTCATTGCTGTTTCATACCTGTAGGACAGCAATGACGACGGCTGCAATTATCACCCACTGGATGTTGTTCCTTATGAAGGTCTCCAGAACATCATGACAACCCTAGGAAATAAAATACTGAACATTTAGCTGATGTGTGTGAGAACAGTTGTCTGGTTGATTTTAAAATAGAGCAGAAAGAACTTCACCAACTTGTAAAACTTACTATTTTAATTCCTGATTTAATTTTAAACGTCAACTGACATAAAAAAACAACTTTTATGCAAAAGTGAAGCCTAAAATGCTGTGCAAAGTAGACACACCTTATGAATAACAGACGGTTTGAACCACCAATCTTCTGACTGGAAGGTGGCTACTGAGTCTAAATTGATTAGCTATTAAGCTCAGCAACCAAGGAATGCCATTATAAATGCATTCAAGCAAAAACCTGAAGGCACTGAGTTTTTGGTCACTTTAAACTCTGTTGCTATAGTTATGTGAACCTGTTTGTGCAGAAGTGATAGATCTATGGTTCACATGTGATGTTTGCTTATCAGCAGTGGTGGGCAATCTAAAAATTAGTTCAACTAGCCCTAAAACACTAACTCAAATATTTAGGTCCCATAATTGTAAAGCACTAATGCACAAAGTTTTAGCAAAAGCTAATGGTGCGTTCACACCGAACGCGATTTCAGCTTCAAAATCGCAGCCAACGCTGAAGTTTGAAGCTTGTGCAC